AACTCAAAAGATCTACGGTATCAGGCTATTGGTGCAAACCGGGTTTGCTTTTTTGCTAAATAAAACAGCTATCGATATTCAGTGGGTGCCTCTGTATTATAATGTCTGATAAGCTTTCTACTTTTCCACACCCATGTATGCTTATGCCCATCACTATCGAATTATGAGATTCCGTTACTTGATTCCGCTGATAACAAATCCCATTGACATCGGAGCCATTTGCTTTGATATGCTCCTGATATACGAGACATAATTTGCTTGACATTGCCGATAACTGCCCGTTGAAAATCGTTGCATTTACTTTGACTTTTTTTACACTGTTATCCTACTGATAAGCAAAACATTTTTACTTGACTTTGCTGATAACTGCCTACTTGGTTCCGGGATCAATGCTTTGTTTTCCGCTACAATGTATATGCCAATCTTAACTTTCATCTATCTTTGATTTTATCCATTACCGCTATCATATCATTCGTTTATTGTTTTCAGCCTTTAGGAGATGTCTATATTCTATAATACAGCTTTAGTTAATTAAGCTAACTGATAGGTATATAGTTCTCTTCTAGGCAATAAACAAGCTCAAAATCTTATGATCACATCAAATAGTAGAAATAAGTATTGGACAGCCATGTTTCTTTCCGTCATAGTGTATGGCATAAGAACAGCGAGGCCATTCTGCTTTATTTTGATACACGACAGTAGATGGATGGCTATATAACGCAAGCATACCTCAATATCATGTGTTAGTTGAAAAAATAGAGGATCTATCACCATATATTTTGGTGTTTGCAGAGTCCGTACTTTGATGCTGCAACAGTATGGATACTACTGCTACTTTTACTTCTGCACCATATACAACTTTACTAACTTAGCACAAATAAAAACTCGTTTTTGTTTTCTATAAATGGAGTTGTGAGTTGAGGTGCATTGTACTAGAATTAGCATGCTGTGCATTCGACATAGGAAAAACGGATCAAACAGATCAAACTGATCGCAAACTTTTGAACCGTTTTTGATCCGGATCAGCAATCTCGAATCCGAATCCGTTTCGTTTCGTAAAAAATGCAATCTTAATCCGTTTCATTCCAATTCGAAACGAAACGGACCAGCCAATCCGGATTTTCTGAGTACCCCTATGCAGCATCTACTGAGCGTAACAACGATGCTTTGATCAATAATTATTCTCCATCTGTTAAATATAATGACACATATTCACTTAATACAACGACGATGCTCTACTGAAGACTGCGCCCTACGAAAAAAAATCGCAGCATTAATCATTTTTTAATTATGAGTGACACAAAAAGGTAGAGGAGAGGGAACAGTGGTGGGAGCATTTTCTTTCTAAATAAGTTTTAAATGATAATTCTCTTATAGAAAGCAGCTTTATAAGAATAGAGCATCACTGTTGTCATAACGAATGTTTAAAAAAAGTGCTCATAGTAAGATTTTCAAATGTTTCATTATGAACATCTTGTTTTATGTTGTATCTGCTTCCACGGTTTCTATATATTTTTTCCAAGTGCACGACATCAATCTCACCAGATTTTACTTTTAGAACTAATAGAAAGCTCGAGGAATTTAGTACAACAAGTTAATTCAAACGAAAAAACAGATAAATTCAAGTGATCAAATTAGGTAAACCAGCCAGCAATTGAGTCGAAATAGAAGGACAGCAACTCTACACACACACGTTCTTTAACCTTGGCCAAATGAGTTCGTAGCAGCGTTGCCTCCAGTAATCGACCCATACAAACATGTTGTATTGCAGAAAACACTGCCACTAATGAACGTTCTCTGATGAACTTTCTTACTAACAACACCGCACGAATATATGAAGAAGAAAAAACGGCGTAATCAGTTCAGTACGTATTTACTGTTGTATCTGAAAGTTTTGCTCACTAGTATGTTGTTTCCCTTTTATCTACAGATCTAACCCTTATTCACATTTTTTCTTATATAGAAGAAGACTTGTTAATATGTATACTTCCTCAAGCCTGGTATTTATTTTCAAAAGAGATTTAAAAAATATGTAATAAGATGTGGATGGGACAGATGCTGATGATGTTATACTTCTATATATCGATTAGGTGTAAACAATTTTTGTTTTGCGAGGCAAGTATACAAGAGTGCAGCTACGATCGAATAGAGCAGGCAGACCATGACGCCAAAATGGAGCCTGTGTATGGGGACGATGCAATCCTTGCTGTATGGAAGGATTACTAGGTGGTAAACTGGCAGATTTCTAAACCAGAACGACTCAAAATCCGTCTCATTCTTCTTCAAAAACTCGAAAAAAGTGAAGACGTGTTCTACATATTGCCGGTCGATTAAAAGCTTGTGTGTGAAAAAGTAGAGGATGCGACTAGGTTGGGGTTCGCCGCCAGCAAAAACAACGCGGACGTACAGTATGTGCTCACGCGCATGTGGCGAGTCATCTCCGATATGAACTGTTGACCTATCAGCTCGATCTTCGGGAACTTGTAGATCACGTCGTACACAAGATTGTGTGCTTCTTGACTAAGCGGGAAATAATGGCCACTGTTGATACTTCGATAATACTCGACCAAGCAGCGGTAATGACGTAGGTCTATGTGTATTTCCTTGCCTGTTTGTAAAGGGTAGCTTGATGGAGGCAGCAGCTCTGATTCACGCACCAATAGCCCTTGGCGACGACGATTCAGCTCCAAATCAGAAGCGTCCAAGAACGATTGCACATCAAACATAGTCATTTCGGCCGAAACGTTCCTTTGCAGCGGTACAAGAAGACTGGCAATTGATGCAACCATGGGTTCATTGCAATACTGTCGCTGATATTGATGCACAAGATCGTTGCCATACACATCCATCAAGAACTGCCTCATATACGTCACTTCAAAAAGGTCCCTCCAATTAATATTCTGGTTCTTGACGATACCATTATACCATTCGAAACTGAAGAGCCAAAATCCATAGCAAGGACCGAAATCGAGGACAGTATCGCGAATATGGCCATGGAGGTGCATGTCTGGCGTGATAAACTCTGGGGCGTACAGTCCGACGTACTTTTTGCAAAACTGCAGTAAGCGGATTTGAGTAATGTCGACATCGGCAATCTTGATTGAGGGTTGGCAAAGGATACGTGCAGCTTCGACGAACTTGAGCCAGTTATCGTAATGTTCACCAAGTAGCTTTGACTTGAGCAGAACAGGGGAAAGCACAACTGTCTATGTTCGCCATTCATCCGATGTCATACCAGCGAACTAGGTAGCAATACAGCCAAATCCAACAGTATATCCCGGTGGCAGTACAACCTTTTCCAGCTCCGTCTCCATATCCACCAAATGCTCTTTTGTCAAAAGTCCTTGCTCAACCCAAGCTTTTGCCATTCGTGAAGCGGTATTAGAAAACAGATTGTGCATGGAGTCAATGATATAGGATTTAAAATCCAATCCCAGACACGGGCTCAAAAATTTTCGCGAACGGGATTTTTTTTTTTCGCTCATGGGATTTTTTTTTGTTTATGGGATTTACCATTTCGTTCGCGGGCTTTCTTTTTTGCCAATGAGATTTTCCATTTGGCCAACGGCGTTTTGATTTGGCCAACAGCATTTTATTTCGCTAATGGCCCCTTTTTTCGCTAATGGCATTTTCACTTGGTCAACGGCCCTCTTTTTCGCTAACGGCATTACTAATTTGCTTACAGCAGTTTATTTCGCCAACAGCATTGTCATTTAGACAACGGCCCTTCATTTGGTCAACGACATCATTATTTCGCTTACAATTTTTTTTATTTCGCTAACGGCATTTTCATTTGGTCAACGGTCCTCTTTTTTGCTAACAACATTACTAATTTGCTTACAGCATTTTTTTTCATCAACAGCATCGTCACTTGGCCAACAGCCCCTCATTTGGCTTACAGCATTTTTGTTTCGCCCATGGTATTGTCGCTTGGCTAGCAGCATTTTTAGCTATTAGTCACTGCTTTTTGGTGCCTACGCCTTGTACTCATTTAAGCAAGGTGCTTTAAGCAACGTAGTACTGTGACCCGTAATATCGCCGAGAATACATATGCTGTAACTCTTTACTTGTCGACTATATACAGACATCTTCTGTGCAAATGCAACTTGACCTTAAAACATGCAATGCACTATTCCTGGAGCCCGCACAGACAATGTGACTAAGGACAATTGAAAAGATTACATGCGCAAGCATATTCAAAATGGCAACCTTGACTACTTGGCTGACTGTGTTTTCATTGATGAAAGGTCGTTCACTAAAACGGTAACAAGAAACTCTGCTTGGTCGAGATGTGACACCGTTGTGCATGTCTGTCTTCTGTCGATGTGGACTGCATCAAAAACCCTTCTAGCAGCCATTAGCCATACTGGTTTTGTCGAGCCTACCATCAGATCAGGCAAAGGAGGAACAAAAGCAGTTGTTTTGGAAAGCGTGATGGATGTCCTCGATGAAGATGTATGTCGTGGTGATAATTCTGTTTGTGACAATGCACCTATTTATACACCAGGATTTTGAGTAGTCGAAAAGCGCAGATACCATCTTGTCATCCTGCCCCCTATTCGCCTTTTTAGAACCTGATCGAAGAGTTTTTCTCAAGGTGAAGGCTCTTTACAAACAAGCCATCATCAAGGATTGATGTACAAGAAGAGCAGGCAGCAGAAGAGTAAGTGAAAGGGAAGGAAGCATAAGGGCCAGAAGTTCCAGAATGGGAGAGGCGTTTGGCGGATGCCATCAGGTGCGTTCCTTGAAAGATAATATTGCACGGATCACGCATTCCACTACTTTCTTTCCCATTGTCTTGCACAAGAAGACAGCCTGTAGTTATGAGGCAACAACAGCAATTCCCCACTTACCTTTCGCGTTATCTCTATAACCACGTTTGTATTCACCTTTCTGTGATTTATCTTCATACCAATCTCTGTGTCTTACTGTATTCTATTTATCAACAACTACTCTCGACAATATATTATGCTTATATTTCTCAAACTCTCAGTAGGATTCTAGGCGTAAATGGCTTTATTTAGTGTTCAGTAAGTCATGTGTCAGCATTAATAAGCAAGCGAGTGCAGCGAACGATAGATTTCGTATTTGCCGAAGCGAAGTGGCGTTCAGGATGATGAATAAATAAAAACGATATGCATTAGCCTCTTACTAATTTACATAAAGCATGTTTGCTACAGTACTAACCATCTGGATCTTCTCCACGTTCTATGCGTGCTGCCATGATTTGATCATTTGTTTTATAGATTTCTGCCTCTATTTGGAGAGCAGTGGCAATGGTGATTCCAACGGCATCAGCTACTTCTCTACGACTAGCGTGCAGCCACTCCCTTGTACAATAGCGTAGCGCGATGTACTTGACAGACTACTCTGATGTATGATAACTATTGTCTGGGACAATGGCTGTATCGTCCGAAGGAGGAGGCGAAGGCGTCGGTGAGCGAGGTACAGCTGCATCGTCGTTTGAAGACATAGGAATATGAATGAGTGAATGAGGTGAAAAAGCCTTCATTCTTAGGGCATATCTATATATACCTGCAACCTGAAATGGCGTTTTTGACGAGAATACAAGTCCAAAAATCTCTCCGATTTAGATGACAGTCCTTTAAGCACTATCGAATAATTTCATGGAAGATTATCTGCAAGTAGAGTGTAATGCTTTTGCTTTTATACATATAGAAATGCTCTATGCGACGCAACATGCCATTTTCATTTTTTTAATCTTTTTATCATTTTGAAAACTAAGAATCAGACATTGTCAACCATCTAGCGAGTGACAATGGCCTCATCTTGTTATATGATAGAAGCATCTATATAGCTTTATATTTTACGCCTTGTTTTTGTTTGGCTATCTTTTCGATGAAAAAGGACTATGTAGAATAAAAGATATTTGTATGACAGCCCAAAAAGGAATATCCTGCAAATGATGAGTTTCTCTTGAAATTGGTATTTACAAAAATAAGTTCTCACCCCACTTTCATCCCAATCCTCTTTCTGTACACTGTACTATGGGAAGAGTAAGAAATAACAAACCAAAGAAGCACTCAAGCACCACGAAACGTGTGGCTAAAACGTTGGAGGCACCTACTGTTGAAGAACTCGAATCAGCTGTCGAAGAACTACACTCTTTGACAGAAAATATTGAAGAAGCTCAGCAAAACTGGGTTCCTACTGAGTATGATGTTGCCATCCTGGCAAAAGCATTGGAGCAGCTAAACCTTGGATCATCAAGCAATCAAACTGGTAATGTCTAGAAGAACAGAGAAACGGCGAACACGTCACCTTAGCGCTAAAAGTGAAAAGAGTGTATCAACTATTCATATCCGTAGCCACGTACACGGAAGAGCTAACCAAATTGTATAGGTGAAACAAGAGAGGAACAACGCTAAGTTTAGCCGTCGTACATCACATATTAGAAATAAATTTGTTTAAGCTCTACGTATGTCTTGTACTCTGTTTGCACAAAAAGCCTCTATAAATATTGGTACCTGTTGCGCCTTTATTCCCCCTATTAAAATCAATAAACTCGACTATGAAAACACGCTCCCAAGCACGATCTGAAACACACCAGCAATCACGCCCTCAGCAAGGGAACATCTCCAACCTTCAAACAAAAAAAATTATCAAAAAACGATCCACAAAAAAGTCGCCATTGAAGCGCTTAATTAAAGCGATGAGTGATATGGATATAGTTGATACCCAACAGCCCTTTGGTATATACTTGCCTTCCTTTTAGATGAGAATATGCATGCATTGTATTTGTCAATTTTCTTATAGGATCTTATAAACAGCCAATACCACATCCACCAGCATTTATAATGAGGATACAAACATGGAATCAGTTGATATTGTCCATGAAGAAGAGCTCGACGATGCACCGAGTCAATATTAAATCAGTTACTTTCCGATCGAACAATCCCGTCTGATACAGCCAAACGATGGTATCGACTCTTCTGACGATGCTGGCACCAGCAGCTCTGAAGAGGAGGAAGGTGAAGAGCTAACAGTGCTTTCAGTTCGCGCTGGCTCTCCTCCCGTCAGTTCGAGTAGCAGCGATGTCATTGAGCATCAAAGAGCCAGAAAAAAGACCACCACAACGCCTACCACCCGACGTGGACCAAGTACGCCACATTCCCTGCAGCAGATGCTACAAACTCTGTTGTTACGCGCTGCTGGCGCCAAGTACCGCACCATATCTCGTGTATCAGGTGTTGCCAAATCTAGCATCTTCGATCACAAAAAGAGATATGCAGAACGTGATGGAAATGCAAATCCCATCAAACATAAAGGAAAATCATTGCCAAAAATCACTAAGGAAGGCAGTAATTTCCTTGTGGAGACGGTGACTACTGCAAATACAGTGACGTTAGAGCAGATTAAGATGCTATACTTTAATCGCTTCTCTGTGCTACTTGACGCATCTACCATATATCGCCATTTAGTAGAGAAATGCCGAATCACGATCAAGCGTGCTCATCCGTACCCAGAGCGGCGTACCGACGAAACAACAAAAGACTTGCGCTTCAATTTCGTTCAACAGTATATTAGCAGCAATATACTGGACTATAAGAATAATTGCGTATTTGTCGACGAAGCATCGGTGACCGCAAATATGCGACGCAACCATGCATGGTCACGAGCTGGAGAGGTGGCGCATGTTAAAGTACCGCACATGTATGCTCGCTCGCGCTCCATGCTTGTAGCCATCTGCTCCACAGGCATTGTTAAAGCATGCACAAAAATCAACAGGGGAGGAACGGGAGGTGGAACAAAAACTGTCCACTTCTTCGCCTTTTTGAAGCAAGTAATGGACGAACTTGATCAGCGAGACTTGCAGGATAAAGGCTGGAATATTGTATGCGACAATGCCAGAATACATACAGCCAATTACATCAGCAACGAGGTCACAGAACGTAGCTACAGGCTCGTCTTTTTGCCCCGGTATTCACCATTTTTAAATCTGATTGAGGAGTTTTTCTCCAAAGTCAAGGTGCTTTACTGGCAAATCGACTTGGCACAACACGAGCAACAGCAGCAACAACAACAACAGCAACAATCGCAGCAGCAAGGTGTAGTAAAGACGGTGGAGCAACGTTTGGCTGACTCTATGAAGAGAGTCAAAAAGAAGACTTTGAGAACTACACTGCCCATTCGATTACGTTCTTTGATCGATGCCTTGCTCGTGAAGACAACCTGTAACTGTTCGCACATTTCCTGTATCCTTTATATCCTCCATATACTATATCCCTACACCACCACCAGTTACACTATATCACTTTTTGTTCTTTTAATCAAGTTTACATCGACTATATGTACTTTTGACTTAGGCAGCAGCTAGGGAAAAAAGGAAAGTGAAGAAAGAAGTTAAGCGGGCGGAAGAGAAAAAGGCAGCAGGAAGAAACATGTTAAGTAGGTAGCATAAATAAGAGAGTGAGATGACAGATGAAGTGGGACAATAAAGAGAAGAAGCATAACGAGTAAGGAGGGACAGGCGACTATTAAGAGAAGAAGCATAATGAGTAAGGAGGGATAGGCGACAATAAAAAGAAGAAGCATAAAGAGTAAGGAGGGACAGGCGGAGATAAAATGTGGATGGTAAAAGAGTGACTGGAGAAAAAGTACAAAGGAAGGGAGGGCATTTATAGACACTGACCACAGGAACAATCAAAGCAGGTAATGCACGCTTGTAGATCAGGTGCTTGCATACTGCTAATGACTGCTCCCATGCGCGTCCAAAGAGTGTCAGTTAACGTCAGTGCATCTTGCTCCATTGGTCGATGTCGCTTGGCACTCAATGCAACGTGTTTGAACAAGATTTCGGCAGGATTGAGCACCCCACTACAATGTGGCAAAAACACTGCTTTGTAGTCTTTGGCTTCAACCACTTGACAAATCGTCGCCTTTGTCTCTTCTGGGACATCGTCAAAGACAATGCTCCGGGAACGAAGCTTCTTCACATCCATCTCGGCAAAGAGTCTGCGAAGGAACTTCTTGACATCGTCGTTGTTAGTGGGCCCTTCGTAGTTTTTGTTGCTAAAGTAGAGGACCTCACTACGAGTAAAGCCAACGAGGAACGTGGAGGTGGTTTCCAAGGGTTCCAAGGGCTTAACCTTGGGCTCGTGCACCTTACCAACAGCTGCTGCTTTCTGTGCCCTCACTTGCGTCTTCTTGGCATCAGTGTAAGTACGATTGCTGTTGATGTGGTAAGCCATTTCACCAACAAGAACACAAGTGGCTGCACTGACACCTTGCTCATATACACTGGAGACTGGTTGTTATATTAAAAATTATGAAAAAAGTAACAATTAAAAAAATTTATATCAACTTAAAAATAAAATAAAAATTGAATTTTTTATTTTATAAAAAAGATAAACTTCAGAAGATTTAAATTTAAAAGTTTATTTGAAAAATGGTTCTCTTCAATAAAAATATTCTTATATATAAATCATCTTTAATTAAATCTTTTGAAAATATTATGTATGAGGTTAAAAAAAAATATTTTGAAACTGAAATATTATCTGACCCCAAAAATAAAAAGAAATTATTTGATAATATTATAAAAGAAAACATGGAAAAAGTTAATAATAATTACTTTTAGTATGAAAATAGTAGTAGTAATATATGCATATATATACATAAAGAGGAAAAAAACAAGGATATATATGTCACCAAAAATAACCAAAAATGGTGATAAAAAGAAATTTGTATGTACAAAACATAATCCTAATCATATCCCAAGAAAAAAAAACAAAAAAAAACAAAAAAAACCAAAAATACAATAAAAATAATAGAAAGGAATAAAAATGATATTAAAAAAATCAAAAAAAGAAAAATAAAAAAACTTTTTATTTGTAATGCAGGTGAAATAAATCTTTGGAAAATAATTACCAAACTCACAACTTAAATAAATCAGTTATGAAAATTAATAAACAGGGCTATTATCTTTATAATCAATATTTCAATTATAATATGCCCCGAGTATGTCATTTTTTCTTTTTGTCAGGAAGGTAATACAAATCCTTTGTATTATGCCTTCCTTATATTATAATAATTAATATATTTAAAAAAAACAAAAAAACAATTCTTTTTTTCTTTTTTTCCATCTAGAAATATATTCAAAATTTTAATTTTGAAATATATTTAAGCAAGGGGGGTTCCATTACCCCTTGCTATATACGGGTGTTATACACCCGTCCGGTATATATCAAGAATTTATAATTCTTGTGTATCATAATATAATATTAAATATAATAAACATCATACCTAAAGGTGTTAAAAGCTTGCGGTAGCGAGCTAATGTTTATTTATTATAATATTATATATCAATATTTAAATAAATTAATATATAAATAATATGTATGTGTTTTAACACATACAGTATATATATAAGAAATTATATTTCTTTTATTATATATGACCAAATGGGTCTCTGACCCTAGAAGAAATGGTAATAGAGCCCCATTTCTTCAATAA